GTGTGTTGAGAATGCTTCTTCTTCTTCTTCTTTTTTCTTTTTTTAAAATCAAACTTTGCTTTATAAAATGGTTTGATAAAAATCAAACCCAATGAAATCCACCTCAAGACAAAACCAGACAACCAGACAACATTTGGAAAAAAGTTATGTGATTAACAAAAGTGTTTAAATCTATATTAAAAAGTACTTTTTTAAAAATAAGTATAATTAGAACATGAATAAGAGTAATTAAATGTATAATATTTATTGTTAGATTTGATAGGAGGAATAATTCAGAAAAAAAATATTTTTTTAGTTATGTGTAATTTCAATCAATCAAATTAAGATTTTATATGTTTCAATTTAAAATTTAATTAGGTAAAGTTTTAAATCTCAAATTTTCTGAATGAACTACCTAAGTGGAGCTGAATTTAACAAATAATAATAATAAACACCTTTTCATATGTAATTCCTTTCCCCCAAATAATCTTTTTTTCTTTTCACATATGTTATTTTTCCACATTAAAAATAGAGAATCGACTAGTGGCATGGGATCTTGGGTCAATGCTGTGGTAAGCCCATCTAGCTAGAGATTATTTAGACGAGCAGCTAAAAGCCCTCATGAAAGGGCATGCAGAGAAGGCTCGGCCAGAAAATCCAACAGCTTTCAAAATTCAAAGAACCAAGCCTACGGTCCTCTCTTCTTTTACTCTTGTTCACGTCTAAAGTTAATTTCCTTCATGAGAACACCTTGCAAGGACCACGAAACAGGGCCTTCATTAGATTCATTCTCAAAAGAACATTTAATTTAAATCCATGTCTATAAGATCCAGATTTCTGCTCGTCTTGTAGTACACCTGTTTTAATCTCTTTAGTAACCATTAAAATAGTATATTTTTAAAATTTTATTTTTCACTTCAACATATCAAGACAATCCAAAAAATAAAAAAATATATTTTAAAACTAAAAAAAATTAATTTTTTTTAAAAAATGCAGTTGAATTGGGATATTAAACAAGCCTCGGTAGCATCTAGTTTACAATACGTGTCAAATACTCACACTATTATTAGTATTGGTATTATCCGCCGTTCTTGATGACAAAACCAAATTGCACACAGACATCATATATGGTTCTATCTGTTGACAAATCTTAGAGTGCTTCTCCTATTTGTGCATTATGATATTAATGAGTCGTTTTCTTGACTAAGCAGGGGAGGAGAGGTCTCCTTTACTAACTTATAACGACATGAAAAGGAAAGGAAAGGAAATCATCTTCCTAACACACCAACTACATATATAGGGATCCTCAATCGGATACCTTAAGTTGTTTTTCCCTTTCATTTCAATTAGATTTGAAAAGTTTCATAAGATTCTGTAACGAGTCTTCTTTTTCATATAACTCTAACAGTGATTCTATCAAATCCCATCATTTTCCCATAAAAAATGATGCCTTTTTTAAGTTAGAGTAATGAAAAATGTGCTCAGAGTTTAGGCATAAAAATTAATTGAGAAATTTTGAGTACTTAAAAGAGACTCAATCGAAACGAAATTCTTTTGGGAACTCAATTGAAATTTAAGGTATTATTCATGGTTCAAATTTGAGGTTGACCCTGAGTTAATCATTGTGTCTCAGTGGAAGCACAAGCTTTATCCATTTCGATCTACTACAAGTACAAGAAAATTTGTGCGATTTACGACTTAATCCATGCTAGATTTGTGAAAAAACTCAGGTACTGTTTTCTCAAAACCACTTCATTTTAAGATTTCTCTGAAGTTTTGGGTTTACCGATCAACTCACAAAACAAGTAATCTACGTCTTAAGCCAAGTCAACCCTCAATTCAGGTTCTATAGCTATGCGAACAAGGAACCAGAAAGACATGATATTACGATAAGAATGAATGAATCTTTCTGGGACAGCTTCGTTGTAGCTAGCTAATAGAAACTGTTTGGCAGAATGGCCGGCTGCCGGTATTAAAAAGTTGAATTTTTTTTTTAAAAAAAATTATATCTTGTTGTTAAAAATAAATTTTAAAAAATAAAAAAAATATATATTTTTTAATAATTTTCTTTTTAAAAACAACGCTAACATACTAACAAATACTATTTTAGTCCATGGCCCCAAAGTTATGCCCCACCATCGTCCAAGGGAAAGCACAAAACCCTTATTTTGCATCTTAACTAACACTTCCAATAATCGTGATCTATATAATAGATGTGATCCCATGATAGTTTCAGTTTAGCAATCTCAGTAATGCAAGTATGATTGCAAGGGCCGAATCTAGGTCGTGGCAAGGGGGCAAAATTGTATAATTTTTTATTTGGGAAGGCTATTCCGTAGTTTTTTTATTTATAAATATATTAAAAAAACAGAGGAGATTTCAAAGCATACTAAAACTTTAGAAGCGAAGGTCCCTCTTAAAAGAAAGAAAGGATTGAAAAAGACGAAGAAGACGAGTTCATTTACCTCTTAATCCAAACGCCTCCTCGAAGCCTGCATAAGAAAAAGGTTGTGGGTTCGAATTTTCAAATGGGAGTAAACTTCATTTCCTAAGCACTAAAAAAAAAATCGAAACCTCTAGGGTCTTGTTCACACAAATTCAGAACTCCTAGTCTCATGATCATTTAAAATCTGGACACACACACTAAACCAAGTCCTTATACAATTGCAAATCTTCACCAACTCCTATCAAGATTAATTGAAAACTTCAGAAAAATTACGACTACGATGCTATGGGAAAAAAAATCCCATATTCATGGAATAAATGATAATATGCATAGCTGTAGTGGTGGTCATAAAAAAGATAGTAAATAAAAGCTTACCCAATTTTTTCTTGGTCCACAGCTAAATCTCATTTTTCCATTGCATCAAGGTTGTTACCGTGAAGTAATAGGAACTAATTCAAACTTTATTTCCTGTACTCTGACCAACTTTCTAAAAAAGCTCAAGGAGCCACTAATATGACACCGGAGTCGGAGTTCAGTATTGACAAAATTCAGAGACGGGTGTATTGATTGAACAGTACGAAAATTAGTTGCTTCTAGTCAACAAGGTAGGTGCAAGAAATTCTTCCATTGTTACCTTGATCAATCCAGCACCTTCTCTGGGGCAACCCTTTCTCAAAATCGTTTGCCTCTGACAATTTGATATTCCTATCGTATAATTGATGTTCAGGACAACATCGGAACTTTAACCTAAAATTAAAAGACTATCTGTGTGGTACAAGACATACCCCCAAAAGTGCAGGGTCATCGGTAGTGTCATTTAAAGCTTTCTGCACGACAGCATCTCATGCCTTCCTGCATTCAAAAGAAAACTTTTGCTAGGGTACCCCTGTCACAGCAATACCACATGGTCTGATCAAGCTAGGCACGTATTCTAGTTTTTTTGCTCTGTGACTGATTCATTTTCTAATCACGTTTTAGTCATTTTCAGCTCTAATTTCCAAACTTTCTGCTGCATCTAAATTTTACTTAAAGGACACCAATATAAAACACCACTACTCACTGCAGCCCTCTTTGTCGCTATCTGGTTTCTTCTGGGTTTCACAGTTGAGAAGAAACCGAAGCATAAATTGTTTTGTCCTGCTCATAACAAAGTCACACTTGTTTCAGAGAAGATCAAGGTTAGAAGTACTGAAAACTGAGTGACTCTTTTGGTGAAGATTCTCTAAAGAATCTACAATAAGGTCACATCATGTTCAAGTCATGGAGGAACGTAAAGAAAAAGATCAAAGCTACATTCAAACTGCAATTTCAGGCAACTCAGGTACTAATCTAACAGATACTAAGTATTCCCTGTTACTGATTCGAAAAGGGTTTTGTTTATCTGGAATCAATAATTACATTGTGAGTGTATGATAAGGTGTGTGGTGATATAATGTAGGCAATGTGATTGAGTAATTCAGGATACTAACAAAACGCTTACCTTATTTCGCGTCTCCATTTTAGGTGCCACGCCAAAAGAAACCTGCCTTGATAATATCCTTGGTGCCAGAGGATGTTGGAAAGACAACATTCAAACTAGAGAAAGCTGCAGTTCAGGATGGAATCTGTTCATGGGACAATCCAGTTTATGTGACAGTGATACTCATCAAGGAGCCAAAATCAGGAAAGCTGCATGAGAAAATATACCATTTCATTGTTTCAAGTGTACGTTATACTCACAGTTAAAATCTTTACTGATTCTCTAAGGCATAGTGTTTTGTGTACGCATGTGTTTGTTTTCTGATTCCTATGAATTCCTGCAGGGGTCATCCAAATCAGGTTATCTGGGAGAAGCTTCGATTGACTTTGCAGATTTTGCTGATGAAACTGAACCGTTGTCTGTCTCCCTGCCCCTTAAATTTGCCAACTCTGGTGCAGTTCTACATGTTAGTTCTCTCTCTCTCTCTCTCTCTCTCTCTCTCTCTCACTCACACACACACACACCTGTAATTCTCTTGATTTGACCCTTTTCCTATGTTTGATTCACTCCTAGAGCTAGAGCAATGTCTATTTTCAAGAAGTAAATAAGTATTTTCAAGAAGTAAATAAGACCATGTCATTTCGTTATCAAAAACCTTCCATTGTTTCTCATGTATCAAGTAATTTGTGAAACAGGTGACCATTCAGAAGATGCATGGAGATTTTGATCCAAGGTGAACACGAGCATTAACAATTCATTTATGCATTTATTTCTCTTTTTTCTTTCATTTTACTTTCTAGTCTAAAGTTTTGTTTTTCCCATCTCCTCTGCTGCTAATTTACTTACTGGACTTTGTAATCTCAGAAAAATTGAAGACAATGAAGATCCCATACTTTCTAAAGACAGAAACTTGAAGAACCAGCTGAGCAATGGCTACACAGACAAAAACGATGGAAGTTTTAATGAAGTAAGGTCTAAATTATCTATTTTGTTTTAACACAGTTCAGGAAGGGCTGGACTGAACAAGTTCCTTTTGTCATATCTTAGAGATAGATGTGCTGTTTTTCAAGGTTATAATTGATCTATTCCTTGACAAATCTCACAGGACCAGGACTCGGACATTGTTTTATCTGAACAAGACAGCAGCTTCAGAACTTCCATTGGTGGAAATTCTAGCTTCAAATCAACACTCAGACAAGATTCAATGCCTCCAAAGGGAGCAGTTGATGCTATCACACCGAAAAACCACTTGCATTGTAGGACAAGCACTGATTGGTCAATGGGTTCAATGTCAAACGGAAGGTTAGTTGACTCAACAAACAGCCCTGAAGAGAACCTTCCAAGAGAATTACAAGAAACCTCAGATGAATCCATTGAAAAACTGAAAACTGAATTATCTAATCTAATGAGGCAGTCAGAATTATCAGAACTGGAATTACAGACTCTTCGGAGACAGATGACAAAGGAGAGCAGAAGGGGGCAGGATTTGTCAAGACATGTTAAGGAACTTGAAGAGGAGAGAGATGCACTCAAAACAGAATCAGAACTGGAATTACAGTCTCTTCGGAAACAGATTACAAAGGAGAGCAGAAGGGGGCAGGATTTGTCAAGACATGTTAAGGAACTTGAAGAGGAGAGAGATGCACTCGAAACAGAATCAGAACTGGAATTACAGTCTCTTCGGAAACAGATTACAAAGGAGTGCAGAAGGGGGCAGGATTTGTCAAGACATGTTAAGGAACTTGAAGAGGAGAGAGATGCACTCAAAACAGAATGTGAACAACTCAAGCGCTCAAATGAAGGAGAATCCCTGAATCAATTGCGAGCTGAGAATGAGGATTCTAGGGTTCAGCTAGAAGAAGTCAGGCGAGAACTTAGTCATCAAAAGGAATTGAACACCAATCTTAAGTCGCAACTCCAGAAAACACAAGATTCAAATGCTGAGTTGATTCTTGCTGTGGGAGACCTTGATGAAATGCTGGATCGAAAAAATGTGGAAATATCTTCTCTGTCTAGCAAGCTTGATGAGGTTCAGGAGAAAAATTGCAAATGCAGCAAGAAAGAGGACACAGACCAACAAGCAGTGCTTGCACTGGAAGAAAATACTAGGGAAGATAATGAATTATGTCTACTGAAGCAAAGGGTGATAGACCTATCTGATGAAATTGATGTCTACAGGGAAACTAGAGAAAAGCTGGAGAATTATATCGAACAACTCACACAAGACTCTGAAGATCTAAAGAGAGAAAACCATGATATCTCTTCCAAGTTAGAGCAGGGCAAGCTACAAGAACACAAAACCTCAGAATGTTCAGCTACTATTAAAGAACTTGAATCACAGGTACAAAGATTAGAGGAAAAATTGAAGATGCAAACGAAAGAATTATCAGAATCTTTGCTTTTCATCAACGAACTGGAAAGTCAGGTCAAAGGGTTGGAGAAAGAACGGGAAAAACAGGCACAAGGATACGAAAATGACCTCGATGCCATGACACATGCCAGAGTTGAGCAGGAACAGAGAGCTATCCGTGCAGAAGAGGCCTTGAGGAAGACAAAGTGGAAAAATGCTGCTACAGCAGAGCAGCTACAGGAGGAATTCAGAAAACTTTCAGTGGAAATGGCAGGAAAGTTCGATGAGAATGAGAAGCTGACAATGGAATCAGTAGTTGAAGCAAACGAGCTCCGAATACAGAATAGAGTTCTAGAAGAGAATCTTAAGAAATCTAACGAAGAGCTTGCAATGATGACAGACCAGAACAGAGTAAAAATCGAAGAATTGTCAATGCAACTAGATTTGAAAACAAAACATATGGAGCAGATGTCAGTGGAACTAGAAGATGCTTCCAACAAACTGAAGCATGGAGGAGAAATGCAAGAGGCTTTTCTAGCGGATGTTCGAATGCTGAAAAGTGAGATAGAGACCCTAAAAAAAGAGAAGAATGACATCTCTGAAGTGGAAAAAGAAGTGAAATTAAGAGATGAAACTGAAAAATTGAAGACATCGTCTGAAGAAACAAAGATACAAACAGAAATACAAAAAAGTGAAAGAGATGAAATAGAAGAAATATTTGCATTGACAAAGAACGAGGCAGAAAACACGAGGCAAGAATTATTCAATTTGAAGTCCTTAAAGGATGAAAAGGAGGCAATGATCAAGAACCTTTCATTGGAACTTCAAAGCCTCAGAGATCTGCAGATTGAGCTAAAAAATAGCCTGTCCGCAGAAGAACAGGAGAAAGAAAAACTTCAGCAACAAGTACTCGAATTAAAAGGTAAGCTGCAGAAGAAGGAACAGGAAAATACTAGTTTCATGAAGAAACTCACATTTTCAGATGAAAAGAACTCAGTGCCAATGGATGGCAGAATGCAGATCAAATGTGCTGCAACTAATACTGCAAATGTCAATGACTTCCAAAAAAGAAATATTGGGGAAGACTTGCTGAATTCTGAGATGCACACTGCAGGATGCAAGGGTATTGAAAGGTACAATTTGAAGTTTGTTTATAATGATTATTGTGCTTTCTCATATATCTACCACCTTTTTCTGAGTAATTAATTTCCAACATGGAGATAAATCGAAGCATGCATTGTGCATCCAGATATGTTTTAGTTCGTGATCATAGCTGTCACTGAAATTAGTTTCATTCTTCAATATTTTTTATGACAGAGAAGCAAAAACTTGCTCGAAGGAAGAACTGAGAGTTGGCACTTTCCACTCAATGGATGAGGGTTACCTGATTGAACTGTTGACAGAAATGGCACAGCTAAAAGAAAGGAACAAATGTATGGAAACTGAGTTAAAAGAAATGCAAGAGAGATATTTAGAGATAAGCCTCAAACTTGCAGAAGTAGAAGGTGAAAGGCAACAGCTTGTCATGACTGTACGCAACCTCAAGAATGGTAAGAGGCACTAGCATTCTAGCTCTCTAAGATATCGGATGTCAGACACAGCAATGAAGCATTGGTAATGCAGCTGCTAAAGCAAGCCTCTGATGAGCAAGATTGTTGCTTGACTATTCTTTATGCATATTGTAAATGGAAGTCTAGGGATGCTCGAGAAGCAGGTCCAGAGTTCAGAAAGGAATAGATGTTTCCTTAAAAATATAGTAATTGCACACTCCTTTGCTTTATACAGATTTTGTGTATTCCTTATTTGTGATGTTCATGTAGCTAATCTAGTTGAAGTATTGGTGCCTAACCTGAATTGTGGCTGTATTGCAGAAATTAAAAGCATTAGAATTTTAAGATATTCCAATGAGTTTCCAAATTGCAGACATCACTGTCTAGAATTTAGGTTAAACAATGGAAACAGTTTTATGTTCATGACTTCATTCATACCTTTCACGTTATTTCTGCCTGAACTGAACGTGTTTTAGAAATCCACTTATATCTAAGATTCTTTGTTTCATAAATTTGTCGAACTTTGTTGTATGATACAACCATGGATGTGACAATGATATCTATGTTAACCGTGTTGAAAGAAATCAACCTATCATAGCTATGTCCGTTAAGTAAAAAAATTAATTACTTTTTTACAGAACACAAAGGTTATGATATTCCAAAATTATAGAAAGCACAGGAAAGGGTGGCATTGTTACAGGATTTAAAGAAAAGCATAGCATTGGTACAGATGTTTAAGGACCAAAATCTAACTTTATCAACATAAACCCAAACATCTATACCTTTCTTTCCCTTCAATTTCTCCTGAGCTTTTTGCTCATACGGTGGGCACTTCCATCACTCCATACCAGCCTAGTTTGGTTTCCACCATCCATTGCAAAGGATAAAGTCTACATTTGATGAAGCTTCTTATTACGATGACAATTTAATACAGAAAAATGTCTCATACAAAAGGGTTCACGTACCATACCTGTTTTGATCTCTTATCCTTGGGTGTCCATGTTGGAATTAGGGATGCGGAAGTTCTTTCCTTCTGGGATGAACTTGACAATTGAATAGGTTGTTTCTGCTTCTTCTGCTCATATACTTTTCTAGGAGTGCTTCCTCCCTGGTACTTGAAAAAATCAAGAATAGACAGGCTTCTTCTCTCAGTAGCCTTTGATATATATCCTGAATTCCAATAATCTGGAGTACATGTATCAGGTGGAAGGGACTGCTGCCGCAATCTGCTCTTTTCCCTTACTCTGTTAAGAAACTCTATTGTCCAGGGTGAACCTGGTTGTGGATGAGCAGAATGGATGGCTTTAGAAAGTGGTGTTCCACTTCCACCGCAATGTGATATCTCCTCTTCAAATGGAAACCTGGTAGATTTTCCTGCAGCTCTCAGTGTAAAAGCCTCTTCTAAGAGATTTTTCCTGGGTTTTACAGGCACTTTTTCATGCTTATCATCCATAATTGGGTCACCACGATTTTGTGGTAACCTTTGTCTATCATTTTCTATAGGGGTCCATAAATCTGGACAAGAGTTTTTCTCAGCAGCCGTTGGATTATTAGGGTGACTATTCTTACCAAATGACAGTCGTCTTGCAGCTTTCGACTTTCTTGCAGAATCTTGTTCGATATCAGGCATCCAAGGTGAGAAATATGTAGAGTTAGCAATAGAAGCAACGTCTTTCTCCAACGAGACGGGATCATCAGTGAGGTCTATGACTTCACCTCTAAAGTAATCATGCAGGTTGTTAGCGTTAGATTTACAAGGATTGCCGCTGTCTAACTTCAACTCCTTGATATTTATTTCGGATGCCCGATTTTGACCCAGAAATATATCGTTCAGTGGTAACCTGGGCTGTCTTATGTCATCCCGAATCAGAGGATCTTTGAAGTTTCCAGAATAAAGTGGTTTCATGGAAGTAGGAAAATCCATCACCGGAGCAATATCCGGTACCTGCTTTTGACCAAACAAATCTTTCAAAGATGAACTATGTTGGTTCAACTCACCAAGCATCTCGGGATCTGTTGAAGTCCAACAATCATATTGCTTAAACATTCCAGGATCCAGCATACCATCAGTGAATTGGTTCAGTGATTCAGATTTCCACATGTCATCCACTTGAATGTCAATTTTTTGAAGGCTATTTATGCATTTTCTTCGTTTTCTTTCAGAATCAATAAGAAGATGAAGTTTATCTGAGTCAGGACAAGAAGATGCAGAGGAGGAACAGTCTGTCATTATGGATCTAGAATCCTCCCGCTCACCATATTTGCACAAAGCACTAAATAGAGCTACACTTTCAACTGGAACATGATACTGTTGGACTGCAAGGATCCTGCGTTCATGTGACCATTCAAGAAACTCAATAAGCATGCCTCCAGAAGACAGAATTGCATGTGCTGTCAGTGGATTAATTGATGGAAATTTGGTAAGGAAGGATTCTGCAAGAGTTTCTGATTCAGGCATTTTAGGATATCTGCCCCTGGAAGACTTAGTGGCATACAAAATACTGTTTAATATAATTTCATCGGTCAATTCAGCTGAATAGGAAGAAAAGAGCTGTAGGTCAATTCCCAGGCTTGCTGCAGCTGCGTAGAGTCCATCAGAGAATTCCATTACAGTAGAGAGGAATCTGGTTTCTCCTTCAAAGACCTGCAGAAAATGTAATATGAAAGGTAAGAAACAAAGTTCCAAAATAGCAAATTATTCATGAAGGAGAGGTAATTGAGAAGAATATCCTAAAGAAGAAACCTTCATATATCAGTCAACCTTATTATGGCCAAAGTAAAATACTAATACATGCACATTATAATTTATGCACCAACGGATTTGAATTTTTTCCAAAATCCCTTGCAAGAAAAGATCAAAATTGCGTAACATATGCACATAATTAATGTCAAGAAAGTAATATCTGATGAAGCTAACCTATCAAAATGATCATAATTTAATGTACACCACTAAGATGCCATTAATTATGAATATGCTGGAGAAAATGCTTTCAGAGTTCCTGTTAGACATTTTTGTGCTACGACAAAAGTTAATGTTTCCTACTGCTAGGAAGAAAACCTGCACGTACAGTGATTCAGTAATTCAACAATTAGATGATAGACCCTATCCAGCATAGTATTGTATTCAACCTAGAGCTTTTTCATTCATAAGTGGATTGCTGCTTCACCATATCACAAGAACTCCAGAAAAATGCACAAGTTTCATTCTTCTAAAGACTGGACTACTCTACATAGAACTGGAGTAGGAAAAAAACAAAGGAAAATATGTGAATTATAACATCATAATATACAGGAATTACCAGAATGCAGCCACTGAAAGCAAAACTCAGCAATGTCAAAACATTTGCAGCAATATTCTCAATGCACAGAGGTAAGCATGAAGAAGCTTCATCTGCAGCAGTTGCTTTCTTTCCAATATTTCCACAATCATACCACACTAAGCAAATGGAAGAACTAATAATCACGTCAACAGGCAGATTCAAGTCACGCTCCACAACTTGTGCTCCTTCTTTCTCCATCGCAAGAATTCTTTGGTATGTACTTCTTCTGGATACTATCATTTCCTTGTCAAAATTTTGAGTATTCACAATAAGGACGATGTCAGGGAAATAAATCATGTCCCCCGGAGTCTCTTCAGTTTTTGTTGCATAGGGTGCATAAGGAACTTGAAAAGGGACGCTGCAAGCTTCTGCTTTATCTGCAGCTTCTGAAGATGTCATATGAAACTTTTCTGCTTTATCTGCAGCTTCTGAAGATGTCATATTAAACTTGTCCTCAATAGGTGCAAGATTTAGCAGTTCCTCCAATTTCTTGTCATCGATATTCTCATTCATACCAGGAACTGAATGAGATTTGCTTCCCTAGGATGAAGTTAATGCTAGGTTAGTGATATTTAGTAGTAGAATTATGTTTGCAGAATAAGTTAAAATTGTAATTGAGAATATAGTTTGCAAAAACATCATTAGGAAGAGAGAGGCAGTTTATGGGAGGAGATAAATCTCAGTAGAATGTCAGTATGATAAATCTCAGGAGATAAATAATCCTATATTTACCTTAATTCTGTTCACACTCAAAGCAAAAAACTGTTACTGCAATGATTAAGGAAAAAAAGAAAATTTCTTCATATAGTAAGAAGGCAACAGGCCCAAACTGGAAAGATTTGTTTCACTTATTTAAGAAATTTACCTTGGGAAATGAAGCCCTTGTATCAGGAATCTTGACTGTAGATTCATTTTTTCCCCTAGCAGTAGCTTTCCCAGGATTCAAGAAATAATCAAGATCATTGAATTGTGACATAGAATTGAACAACAATGAAGCCTTCCTGGCATTTTCTCCAATTAATGTTTCTCTATTTCCTGTTTCTTGACCTCTATCCAAAGACTCACTTGAAGAACCTTCCACATGTCCACTGTTGGGAGTTTCAGAAATCACATTCAACAGTTCCTTATGTTCTTCCATGTGTGCCCCACTCAAACCATTATCAGAGAAAACAAGGTTAATCACCAACTTTCCACCATCAAAGGATTCCCTATCAAAATCAATGTTGTGTGAATACAACTCCTCCAACATTTTTTGATTTATGGATGAATTTTTACCGTTGTAATTATCCTCCTCCAAGAGATGCCAATCCAAATAAATCCCATGGGATGCAGATAGGGGTTGTGGCTTGAGTTCAGCTAGTTTTTCCTCCATAATGGCATTGATCGAACTTCTCTTGTCAGGATCAGAAAAAATAGGTATAGGCAGAGATTTGAATGTGTCATCTTCCAGTGTCAGTTCACAACTAACAATCAATTCATCAAAATTCTTAAAATTCATATCTTCTCTGAACATCGAGTCACATGTTTGTGGTTCATCTGTTGACTGCATTTCAAAGAAGACTTCATAAAGTTGAGATGAATCCGTCTCAAGGAATTTGAATTCCTGGAAAATAACTGCGTTCATTGGTGAAAGACAATCTGCAGAGTCTTCACGACCCTGTGGAATTTCCACCATGCTTATAATGTCCATTCCCAAGGATGTATCTCGAGAAGCCAGCTCAGGTTCAAGGCATTGCTCTTCTGGACAATGCTTTGAAAGAAATTCTAAGATATTAAACTGCATCGAACCCAATAGCTCTTTCCCGTCAATATGCAGGATATTTTCTTGACCCCATTTGGACTCAACATGCTCAAGAAATAAAAGAAACTCATCTTCCATGGATGGGTTTGTGAAAGTTCGAAGACTCATCTCTTCAACTTCTAAAAGAGGGAATGTGTTATGATGAAAATGTGCTTGCTCCTGAACAGAACCATCATATTCCAGCACACAAGCTTTTTCA